AGCCGCTGATGTCACTTCTTCTTCTTCTGATTTGGGTTTACTGGCAGGCCGCAAACAACTTCACGCCGTATACTGCCGCCCAAAATCCCCGGCCGGAAGTCCCCGGAGTTAGGGACTGGCTTCAGTAGAAGCTGCTGGGACTCCCAGCAGCTTCTANGTTTATGTTGAAACCGTTAGGGAGAGTGGCACACTTGTTGGCCTGTTCCATTCTTCTTCATTTTCCGAAGCCGTGGCTTGGAAGCATACTTGCTTTGTTTCTGAAGGAAGTGACTTGGAAGTACGCGACTACCAAGCCAGCATCCTCGCGATTGAGAAACGGCTGTCATAAGAGAACCGCAGTGACGCTCCTAAAACCCGGAAGTAAGTTAGCATTTTTACCACTTCCGGTTCCTTCGATAAAAAGCAATGCAATTTCTCCATAGGATTTTGGAAAATAGCTCAAAATAAGGTCTTTGTTTGACACAAATTGAAGAGACAGATCACATTTTGTTCTACGACATTAAATACATCAGCAGTGACCCCGCTGGTGATTTTTGAAGAGGTTACGTGTTTGAAAAGCGATGGTTGTTAACATTTGGCTGAATAGGACTACAGAAGTTGTCCAGGCCGTTTTACGTCATTACACCGAACACGTAAAACACTCCCGCTAAGTGTGTTTGCCCTGTCCCGCTTGAAAGCAAGTACCTGCCTCCTGCAAACTGTTCAAACAAACGCTTCAACTTGTACCATTTACAATCTGTATGTTTGAATATGGATCTTAAGTTGGCGTGGGGTTGAAGCAGCGACCCTGCTGTAGTTCGTTTATAGCGTATAACGTGAGCATTTTGCTTCTGGCGATTAGATTTATGATTATAAAATTATAAAAGTAGGGTAGACATGTTGATATTATCCAGGTGAACAAAACGTGATCCGTCTCTTAAATGTGTCTCAACCACAGACCTTATTTCCAGCTATTTTCCAAAATCCTATGAAGAAATTGCATTGCGTTTTTGACGAAGGAACCGGAAGGAGTTTACATCCGGGTTTTAGGGCGCGTCACTGTGGTTCTCTCTAAACCAGTGGTTCCCAAAGTGTGGGGCGCGGCATGACAGGGGGGGCGCGAGAGACCAGAAGGAAAAATGGTTATTAAAAAAAGAAAATCATAATTTGTAAAATTATTGATTCGAAAATTATATGATACAGCACTATTACGTCTGGGTCTCTGTGTTTCATTAAAGCTCTGCTCTGTGTGTGTGTGTGGAATGAGCCATTTTGTGTGCGCGAGCGAGAGAGAGAGAGCGCACCGGTACCGGAGATCGTAGTTGTTAGCTTCTGGTGCTAGCGAGCTACGCTAACGGATATAAAGAGTTTTTTCAACAACAAAGCGTTGACAAGTCAACGAGGCACACGTTTATAAAAAAATAAGAGAATAAAGGAAAAACAGGTATGAAATACTATTAAATGGGTGATTTGTAAAATATCCATAGAGAAAAAGTAAAACTGTTTACAGTTCTGTTTCATATGGGTGTTGAGAGATGTATCCATAGATCTCTTTTTTTTGCTCTGAAAGTGCACCAGATTGATGCTTTTAACTTCAATATTTAAAAATAAATCTTCCCGGGGGAGCTTGCCCCCAGACCCCCTATGTGAGGTCCACACACCACCTATAAAAATAGCATTTTACCCCTGCTTACACCTATATGCCTCGAGCCTTCATTGTAACTGTCACATTGTGTATTTGCGTGGGGATTGTTGCAGTAGAAATGTCCACTGTAGCGCCTGGTACATTAATGGGAAACCCTCAGGGATCACCAACTACATTTGTCCAAGGGCCAAAATTTATCCAATAGACACTTTCGCGGGCCAGCAATTTTGAAAGTAATCAGAATACAGTTACAGTTACGTGTCTTAAAAACGTATTCAGATTACTTTTAGAATACTTTTGAAATGCTTTATTTTTCCATAACAGATGGGTATGTTTTGGTGAACAGGAGACACTTATTTTACTGTTTTAATGGCTTATCAAGAACTCAAACACAACATCTTGGTGTCATTCTGGACAGCTCTCTCATCTGCACCCCACATAAAAAACATCACCCGGACTGAATTCTTTGTACTGTCTTAAAACCTTTCCTTGGAATATGTTATGAATTGTAAGGTGTCCTTGGGTGCTTTGAAAGGCGCCCCTAAATAGAATGANATAGCATTTTACCCCTGCTTACACCTATATGCCTCGAGCCTTCATTGTAACTGTCACATTGTGTATTTGCGTGGGGATTGTTGCAGTAGAAATGTCCACTGTAGCGCCTGGTACATTAATGGGAAACCCTCAGGGATCAGCAGCCTCTATGAAACGTCAAGCTACCCCGCACCACCCCAAAATAAATATCTGGCGCCGCCACTGAGCCTGACTATTTGTGTTGGGGGGGCCCCGACTTATTTTTTTCTCCAAAGGGGGGGCCCTGACAGAAAAGGTTTGGGAACCCCTGCTCTAGACGGATGCTACACCAGAATGTTGCGAGCAGTACTTAACATCAGCAGGAGTGTACATGTAACCAACAAGATCCTGTACGAGGGAATACCAAGGGTCAGCGAGAAAATTGCAGCTAGGAGAATGAGACTAGCAGGACATTGCCAAAGGCATCAAGAGCTGCCAGCCAGCAAATTGATGCTGTGGGAACCAACACACGGGCATCGGTCACGAGGACGTCCCGCACCAACATACGTGGACGCACTCAAGAATGACGCAGGAGCACAAAGTACCAATGAACTGGCCAGATGTATGGAGAACCGGGATGACTGGAAGCGACGATGGAGGGCTCGTCTGAGGACGACCTAGAGAGAGAGTTTGAAATGTTATCTTGAAACAAAAACAAAACTTTTTTTTGAGTATTTGTGCATAGATTTGCAAACAATTGATCCCTGATAACGTCCCTCAGGATCTACCATTAGCACCACCATTAAAGCCACATTGGGTTTGGGGTTCATGATGCACAGTAGGTGTATTTTCTGCTGACAGCGTTTCAATTGACTTCATTACACCTGTACCATCCTACTGGAAAACAAATCTCTGCCTCTATTTGCGTAGCACGATCTATGCTGACATGAAAACTGAAGTAAGCTATTGAGTTTATTAAACACCAGGAACCGACCCCATTCATTAAAAAGATATTCCGTCATGTTCTCCTTGATAATTTTCTATTGAGAGAAACAAGCTCTCGCTCTGTGGTGATGACTCACTCGTCGAAGTGACTCAGCCGGCTCCTGATTGGCACTGATCATTGTGCTTGTCCTCTAATTAGCTGTTCCAATAATAGATGAGGAAATGATTTTTCAAGAGGAACACCACAACCTGATATGGATGAGGTTAAAAAATCCGTCAAAGGCTTTAATTTAGTCTCCACTTCAGTGTGAGATGTTCTCTTGAAGGCTCACATCATGAATCATTCAGAGGGGAAACGGCTTAAAGGAATATGTATCTATCCTCAGTTTGGAAACGCTTGCAGAGTGACCTCTCTGTGGTCATGCTTATCTAAGAAACACTTGACCTGGTCCAAAAACAGCTGATGCCTTTTATTTTTCTGCATGCTGTGTGCAGAGTTGTGTGTGTCCACTATCAACAATATGAATGGCAAAAGTGAGAATTTGACCACAAAGTCATATGTTTGTATGCTTCGGTGACAAGTGTGTGTGAGGTTTAGGGCTGTATTTAGTAAAGTGTTTGTGAGGTTTAGGGCTGTATTTAGTAAAGTGTGTGTCAAATACTGAGTGCAATTGTCCAATAGGCTGTTTGTTTAAAACCTCTTGTTATTATGTTGCTAAGTTTCACCTCTGGACCATGAATAGCAGCCACATGAACACACCTTTTATTCTAGTGAATCAATCAGTGAGAATATATACGTCAATGTTGATAAGATACTTTTAATTTGCACCCTACCAATACCTCTCCTTAAGGTATACAGTATATATAAATGTGGCTAACATGCTTTCAATTGTAGTGTGCAGTATATCAGGATTCAAAGTGGCTCAGCTGTGCAGATATACAACAAAAAGGCAGAAAATGAATATACAGAGGAACGTATTAACGGTGGTGAATATGAGGAATGGCTCACATGATGTGCGGAAATGTAGCCCACAGTGTATATGGGAGGGTTAAGCGTCTAGTACAGGGGTTTCCAAACTACGGCCCGGGGGCCAAATGCAGCCCTTGGGGCATTTTGAATCGGCCCTCAGCTTAGGACTGCTCAATTAATCATATTTTAATCGCTATTACGATTTTGGCTTCCAACGATTATGAAAACAACATAATCGAAATAAAATAATTGTTTAAATTATTTTAAAATGTATTTTAAAACAATTTTTTTATTGTTTTTTCAGTTGAATTATACTTAAAGTTCAGGGTAATCAACTGTTAAAAACATATTGTTCAACTTTTTTTTTCACTAAATGGATAATCGTTTTTAATAATCGTGATATCAATTATTGACCCAAATAATCGAGATTATGATTTTTGCCATAATCAAGCAGCCCTACCTCAGCTAATTAAAAAATTATAACGAAACTTGTGCTTGTCTGATATTGTACTTCTTAAATATATATGTAAAAATATATGACAGAGTATTCATGTGTTAATAAGCCCACTTTTCAAATAAATTCAGTCAATTAAAGTAGAAAACATTTTCTAACAAATCTATGTTGATAAGAAAAAAGCCCAATAACTTATTTACATAACTCGCTGAAATATACCCTTCATATTTCCTCTTGTTATAACAAAATAAATGTAACCCTTTGGAAAGCTCTGATGTAGGCTTTTTTTTTTTTGAAGCATCATTTACCTACCTTTGATTGATTTTGCTAGCTTATAAGGTGATATACCTCACCTCTAGTGAGCGGCCCTTCGTATGTTTTTCCGTATGTGGCCCTCGGAGAAAAAAGTTTGGACACCCCTGGTCTAGTAAGTGGATGACATACTTGTGCACAACATATTTTCTAACCTCCTCTGTTGTGATGTTGTGCTCCAGAGGTGCCGCTGGTCCTCTACCTGTTCCTGCTCATCTCCCTGGTGTGGCTGTGGGCGGGGCTTCACATGAGCTACAGGTCTCTGTGGATGCTCATCGTCTTCGTCATCTTCAACTGCCTGCTGGTGAGCTCACTGTCTTGTCTTTCTGTGTGTTTGTAGACATGCTTACGATACAATACGATACGATAATACTTTATTGGTCAGATCAAGTCTGAAATTTGACTTGCATCACAGCAGCTCCATGTGTAACATCAACAGACAAATATCAAGAACATGAAAAACAAACAACAAACATTTAACATAACAGCACAATCAGTGAGAGAAGACATTTTCAATGACCTTTTTGCGTGCACTTGATCTGGGATTTAGCTCTGTCTGCTTGCTTACTTCTCTACTTATTTATTAATTAGTTCATCCTGTTTTTTATTGAGACACTTCATGCATTTTGTATTGCATTTCCTTCTGTGTGAAGTTAAGAAGCTTCATTTGCTATTCATTAGCGTCCTTTTTAGTGTCATTAGGCGCTTTCACACCGCAGTACTTTCCCCACAAAGGTTCATCAGAACTTAGTTCATGAGAACTCTTTAGTTCTCATGAACTAAGTACAGATCGCGTTCATACCGGAATAAGTCCCTGGGGGTGGATTAGGCCAGAGGTTCTCAATTGTTTTTCAGCCAAGGACCCCTTACAAGATAGAGAATACACCAAGGACCCCCTCATTCTGATTTGTGATTTTGGGCTATATAAATAAAAATTGACTTGACTTGACATGTATGTCCCTTGAAATAATCTGACTTAGCCTATTTTTTACACTTCAATAGTCTTAGTTATGTGAAAGAACAACACAAGAGCAATGTATTAGATATGTATTAAAAATATTTGCACCATCTCAACACAGAATACCCTTAAAACAATCAATCAATTAGCTGCAAGTAACACTGTACCTAAACAAAATATCAAAGGGAAATCAAGAGAAAAGTGATAATTTGAAGTGCATTTCAGAACACACACACACACACACACACACACACACACACACACACACACACACACACACACACACAGGGGTTAAAGTGGGCGGGAACGATCCAGAACAGCGTTCCGGCACCTTTGATTAATAAGTAAATAAATCTGATTGGCAGTTTCATACATAATAATGTCAAGCGAGTTCACAGGGCTGCCAACTCTCACACAATTGACATTTTTCACACGCTCTCAGCCACAAGTCCATTTTCTCAAGCAGTGAAAAACAATTCATAACTGATAATGTCATGGTGCGCCCTTTATTGCAATGTGGTTTTTTATTATTTGTAAAGCATCTATTATGAAAAAGCGGTTAAGTCTGACCGAGATTGCGACGAAACCACGACGACAAGACGCGTTACACGTTTTCATTCACGA